CATTTTGTGACACAAATATTTTCTGCGTGGGTGAACGCACAGAGATTTCAATGTCCTCTCTATTTTTTTAATGGAATGCTATGTTTTTTTACCGTGATGTGATACCGGTGTTGAGACAACTTCAGGGAGCTATCACTGAAGATCATGCAAGGTCAAATGCGGTAGTAAAATAAACTTTCTTACACTACAAGAGATGCTCGAAGTGGTGACCGTTTGCGTCAGTGCAAAGTTGCAATCTTCGTATCGCTGCATCACGTGCATGTCTTATCGTTTCTGAACTAACACATGCTGCAATTATGATGCAGCGATACAAAGATTGCAACTTTGTATGGACGCAAACGGTCACCACTTCGAGCATATCCTGTAATGTAGGAAAGTTTATTTTACTACCACGTTTGACCTTGCATGATCTTCAATGATAGCTCGCTAAAATCGTCTCAACACTGGTTATCACATCGCGATAAAAAAAAACATAGCATTCCATTAAAAAAATTTAGATGACCTTGAAATCTCCTCTATACAATATGCCCCAGTCTATACCGTGTAAGTTTTGTATATAACATCTTTTCATATTACTAGAAATAACGGCAATATGCTAAGTCGACATAGTTATTGCCCCACCCTGTATACATATCTTACTGTACCCAAAACATTTGAAAAATATAGGTTTCGTTTAAAGGGCTGTATCTTTGTTAAACCAGATCGTTCTTCGATGAGTTTTACTTTATTTTAAAGACAAACGATCACACTTTCCGGTGGTATATATCAAAATTGCAAAAAAATATTGTTTGCACTCCGTAGCACTTGACGAACATCAAGGAAAAGTACAGCTTGGCACACTCCCATTTAGGGGTGAATTTTACCCTCTACACAACCATTTTGATAAAATCGATTTAAAGAACAAAAATACCAGAACGTTCATGCTTTATAATGGTTTTTGTTTCATCAATTTTGGATGAATAGTAACAAAGTTATGAGGGTTTGAAAATTGAGTAAATTTTGAAATAGTTTTGGCTAGCTTTTCGGTTCAAATACCCTACTGTGGCGCCGCACCGTAGCATGCGACGCTCTGGACGTCGCGATCGAGGCAGCTTGAGCCGCGTAGTGCGGGTACTCCCGGAGTGGGGCACCGACTCCGGGAGCAGAAGTTACGCAGCTCTGTTCTACGGTATGATAACTGAACTTCGACGTTTAATCTGGTAACTAGAAGAGGCAATATTCATAATTTTACTAAAAAATAGCTGCAGTAATACAAAGTATCAAATTGTCAAACGTGAAGTTAATAAACCATTAGTAAAGCAAATATCATAGTATTCTTCTTTTTTTTCGTAGATTGCACCATTTTTGTAAGTGTATTAGATGTAGAGTATCTGTTATGAGAGAATCTTTGAATTAGAAATTGCTTCGTGTTTAAACATCTACAATGGTTACATTGAATCAAGATGGATACATTAATGAATTTTCAAAACTAAATACAAAATTATTCCAGATTTATAAAAAAATTTGGACTTATTATTATACATTTTAAACATTAAAGAAATTATTATTAGACTATACTGGGTGTTTGACTACTAGTGGGAAAAAATTTAAGGGGTGATTCTTTGAGGCAAAATAAGACGAAAATCAAGAATAACGAAATTGCGAAAAATGCTTCGTTTGTTAGTTATAAGCGTTTGAAAATTGACCCAAATCATGGCAATCCGCGCGCACGGAGTGTCAGCGGATCACGACTCATCAGGGGCGTACAGTCACTTTAAAGACTCAACGACGTCCAGGAAAAGTAGGTAAAATAGCTGTCTTCTTACTCTGTAGAAGATGTCGATAACTTGTGACCGCGGTATTTGAGTCGATCCACTTGTATGGCATTAACTCTGATTACTCGATAAAATTTGCAAGAAATGTAAATATTCTCTCACGGATACTATCGAGTAGAGAAGGTTAATGCCCCCCTAGTTGTCACGTACAACAATCGTCACGTATCCATGCAATTAATCCGCACATACACGTGCACCACAGAAGTCCGCTAAAAGTGTCCACACACACTGCGCGATTAATTGGACCCGTGAGCGATTCCTCCGTTGCGTTTAACACTCCGAACGTTAGACAAAGCTAACACTTAAAATAATTAATTTAGAACTATTTAACACTAATATTTAACCTGCAATAATTAATAAAATCTACAATATTTAATAAAACCTACAATAATTAATAAAATCTACAATATTTAATAAAACCTACAATAATTAATAAAATCTACAATACTTAATAAAATCTACAATAATTAATAAAACTCACAATAATTAATTTGCACTATTTATAACGACGACATACGCGACACTACTAAAGAATCACTACGCAATCGCTAAATAAACTAAAACTTAGTTTTCCGAACATGAACTCTATTTGCTCGTAGAATGCAAAGGGCACCGTTCGGAAACGACGACTGATATTGTTGAACTGATCCTCCCTCGTTAGGATCGATGTGGCGTAAAAGGTCGATCCTCACTTTTTCATGGTCAATACTTTTTGGGAAGGAGAGACTGCATGTTAAAGTGTCTTGGAGGTCGCGTTTCTTTTCGTATATTCTTAGAGCAACTTCTGTATTTTTCTCTCCAACACAACTCGGGGCCTCGGGGCCACTTGGCCACGATACCGAGGGTGTGCGAGTCTGGACATTATAAAACTGTCTCTTGACTTCTGCAGGACGACCACCCGCGGATTGACTGTAACGTTTTGCTGCCATCGACGAAGACCTTGCCTACTGTGTTTTCAGCTGTCCCTCCTGACATTAACTTGTAAAAAGAACTTTCAATGTCGAATGCCAACTCTATGTTAGAAACGGTTCATATTACACCGAATGTATGTGTTTAACAATTTTATCTATTTTATTTTATGTAGTTCCTTCATGCATCGTAATGCAGGTGCGGCAAATTTCATCTTAGTTTCATTCTAATATCATTATACGTTTTGTATGATCAATGTTAATTGCATATTATTTTTTTGCGGACACAAGAACCTCAAACACTTGTAGTAAGATCGAAGGGGTAATATGTAAAATGTGCAATGCACATAAAACATACAGTAAGTCTATATTCAATATTTCAGGAATAAACAGCGGCGTGCTCCGTTTCCGGTAGCAAGCCGCCTTCGTGGGTCGACCGTAAGCGGCTGGTGTCATTCATACCAGAATGACTTTACATTTCGGGGGTGACTGTGCGGACGAACTTGTCCTCCGTCGCGGGGTGCCGAACGATGTTTTTAAACGAGTGCATGCGTTAATTGCTTATCGTTCGAAGCTTCGCTCGATAGAATATCTTTATTCCTGAAATATTGAATATTGACTTACCGTATGTTTTATGTGCATTGCACATTTTATTACCCCGTCGATCTTACTCCATGTGGTTGAGGTTCTTGAATCCGGAAGAAAATAATATGCAATTAACATGGATCATACAAAACGTATAATGATATTAGAATGAAACTAAAAAGTTAATGTCAAGAGGAACGGCCGAAAACACAATGGGCAAGGTCTTCGTGGATGGCAGCAACACGTTGCAGGCAATCCGCGAGTGGTCGCACTGCAGAAGACAAGAGACAGTTTTATAATGTCCAGACTCGCACACCCTCGGCGTCATGGCCAAGTGGCCCCGAATGGTGTATGAGAAAAAGATACAGATGTTGCTCTAAGTATATACGAAAAGAAACGCTACCTCCAAGACACTTTCCCATGCAGTTTTTCCTTCCCAAAAAGTATCGACCATGAAAGAGTGGGGATAGACCTATTACGCCACATCGATCCTAACGAGAAACGATCGGTTCAAAAATACTAGTCGCCCTTTCCGAACGGTGCCCTTTGCATTCTACAAGCAAATAGAGTTCATGTTCGGAAAACTAAGTTTTAGTTTATTTAACGATTAAGTAGTGATTATTTAGTAGTGTCGCGCATGTCGTCGTTATAAATAGTGCAAATTAATTATTGTGAGTTTTATTAAATATTGTAGATTTTCTTAATTATAGCATCTTAAAAATGAGTATAAACAGTTGTTATAAATTAATTAGTGTAGGCTAAAAATTAGTGTTAAATAGTTTTAAATTAATTATTTTGAGTGTTAGTTTTGTGTAACCTGTAGAGTGTTAAACCCAACGATGGAACAGCTCGCGGGTCTACTTAATCGCGCAGTGTGTAAACATTTTTCGCGGTCGGGACAATCGCGCAGTGTGTATGGACACTTTTCGCGGACTTGTGTGGTGTATATGCGTGTGCGGATTAATTTCATGGATACTCGTGGACAGGACAATTGTGATACGTGACAACTAGAGGTGGGCATTAATCCTCTCTACTCGATAATATTCGTAAGAAGATATTTACATTTCTTGCGAATTTTATCGAGTAATCAGAGTTAATGCGATACAGGTGGATTCGACTCAAATACCGCGGGCACAAGTTATCGACATCTTCTATGGGGTAAGTAAACAGCTGTTGTACCGACTTTTCCTGCACGTCGTTGGGTCTTTAAACTGACTGTACGCCCCTGATGAGCCGTGATCCACTGACACTCCGTGCGTGCGTATTGCCATCATTTGGGTGAATTTTTAAACCCTTATAACTAACAAACAAAGCATTTTTTTGCAATTTCGTTATTCTTGATTTTCGTCTTATTTTGCCTCAAAGAATCACCCTTTAAATTTTGTCCCACTAGTTGTCGAACACCCTGTATATACATAAGGTGTTTTACAAATTATAAAGCTATTATTTTTCATACCGTATAATACGAAAGTTTAATATCGGAAAATTTTTAAGTGTTATATATTTATTAAAACAGAAGTTACAAGGAAGTATATTTTTTGGGTAATATTTTTTCGAAAAAGTGTAAGAGGAACAAAGAGACGTATAGTTCTTATTTCACAACGGTAGGGTTTTTAGTGCACAGTGCTGTATTTATAGAAAGAAAGGTTACCCATTATAAGTTCCAGACAAGAGATCAAATATTATGTTTCAGGACGAATGGGGTGCCGTATTTCGCGGCTGTTTATAAACAACTGGACAAGCTGGTGAGAAATCGAACACAGAAAAACAAACAAGTCTCTCGACAAAAACATAACAAACAAAAGCTATTCACTTTATAGTCCGCGACGATGCAGAATCAAAGCACACAATCATATAACACAGTGATGGGCAACCGCGCCCGCTCGGGCACGTTGCCCGTACGGGCAAGCGGCGAGTATCCGCGGGCTCCTGTGGAGGGGATGCGAGACAGGAAACGTCACTTGTGTATGGAGTGAATTATAGATATGCGTTCTCACTCACACATTTCCCCCACCACTGCTAAGTGCCTGCACGCTGCACGCCGTTGCCCGCCAATGAGTTTGGCGGACGCTGAGTTGCCCATCACTGATCTAACACATGACTATATTTTTTATTCACTGTTTCGTGAAGCTGTATGTGCTATGTTTGGCTTATATGCTTTTATTAAGACGTCGATCGTATTTTTCAAATAAGAAACAATGTTCAACGTATTTAGTGAAACCGATCTTTTCGAGTTCCGATAAATAAACGATCTCTTCGTAATTCAAAGCTGAAAAAAAAACTATAATCAATAATTATACTTATTTTCTTAATGCTAGTTCATTTCTCGTGTGATTTGTAAATTCGGTCGACGTCCATGCATCGAAATAACTACAAAAACATATTACTCCTTATATATAGGGTGTTCTATAAACAAAGATTCTGAACAGTTATCGCTATATTTATTGTCGCCAGTAGAGTAAAGTGAACAACTCAATTATAAACATACTTAACCTATTAACTGAGTAACTTTTCGAACATAATTGCTCGCACAAACAAAACTGACGGTGTAGAAAAACGATCTGACGCATTTTATCCTGCAATAAATGCGAATAAGCTGTAACCTGTACTGATATTAAGATTTTTAATACGGTGAAATGAAAGATACAGTGGGTAAATGAACAGGAGAAGGGGAAATTATTAAAGACAAATTACGTGTTAACTCGTCTTCCAGTCGAGTTCAGTTACTGTCCCCAGGTAACAGATTAATTATTTCAAAATCGAATGATGGCTACAACTTCTCGAGATTTACAAAATTTAAGAAGGAAAGCGTGTCGATTAGGGACACCCTATAAATAAACGAATCGTGGTGACCTGAAGGCCAGGTTGAACGAAAAACCGACGACGTTTGAAATGTCCGTCAGGTCGTCGCGATCTTACTGTATACAAGATGTTTGTCCATAGCTGGCGGAACACGTGGCGAAACACATGGAGAATACATACGAGGTACTTTTGCATCGCCACCACGAAATGTTATGCCCCCTCTTGTTTTTCTCTTTATCTTCTTTCTTCATCGATCTCCTTCTATATGTAATAATTTCAACTGTTGCATCGAGATGCCTTGGTTTTATTTGCATACGTTGCTCCTTGGCAAATTTTATTATGGAAATAAAAAAAATTGATCTTTAAAAATTCTCAGACCAAAGATGATGAATACTAATAGAACATATCTTTATTGAAATTGTATCGTTTAACAAACGCAAATAAAATGGAGGGCTATTGATTAGTTGGTAGCCTATGGAAAATGTTTTAGACCAACAGTTACATGTAAATATTGGTTCCCTCCCCCAAGATTTTGGATTATGGAGAGTTTGGATTTTCTAAAATTGTGGACATTCAAAGGCTTAACTTTGAGAAAACAGACAACATTTTATCTCAACAGCACACATTTGCTTATCTCGTAGCATGTTCAGTTCAACGATCCTTGAATGTTGGAAAGTTGTGGTTTAGTTTTTGAAATATCTTTAGAGCTTCGACATGGTAACTAATTGTGCCCTGGTGTAGGTAGAGACTTTCACGTTATTCTTCGTTATTTACATGCAATGATGATCTCATGGAAGATTCTAATGAAATAAAAATGTCATGAATATACATACTGAGTGTGCACGTATTTTAAATGATAAATAGTTAGTGTACACTAAATTATAATTTTATACATTCATTTCTTGATAAGGTGCTGACATCAAGTTGCATAAATTTAAATTGCGAATTCAAAACATTTACTTTTAATCCTAGTCTTTCAAAAATTCTGTTTACAGTAAATCATTTAACGGACTATAATAAATCATTATGTGACTAACTATGTACAAATTACATGTTACACTTAAATATTAAATTAACTTATGTATAAGTCAACAAAATCATAATTCAGATTGTTTAACGGACTGAATCATATTATCAAAAATTTTATCCTGATCTTATTAAAAACAGTATACGATAGCAACGTAAAAAATATTTCATTGATAATAGTGAAAGGGTCACTTCGTGATTAATTCCGTGTAATATTCAAAATCTTTGACCAATGGAAAAATTAATGTTCAATTTAACGCCCATGTACGAACTATATATTTACATAAAAGTAAAATTCCCGTTTCTACGTAATCCACGTATTACAATGAAACTTATCTTGTTGTGATTATGAGAAAAGCTGGATTGGCTGGGTCACATGAACGTGCAGATAGAAAATATGTAATTGTTCGTCGAATCTTCCACGACCACTGGGAACGTTTTGGTCCAAGGCGAAGCATGACATTGCTTTCTACTTGACAGCTTTTTATTGTCAGCAGTCGCACGTTTTTCTCTAGGGTCCCACGTATCTCAATGACACATCGCACGTTCCCCACGAAACTTCTACGTAATTTGGCAAACGTTGCGCCTAAAACACAGTGAACATATGCATTCGCTCGGCTACCCGATATGTGCTATGTATAATACGTGCTTTTGTCGTGTATCTACTCATCCTGTGAAAACTGTTGAAAACACTTGGAGACACGGGAATAATATTAAAGAAATTCTGAGAGAAGCCTCGTAGTCTCGGAACTGTACTTACATATACAGCGTGGACCACGAAATGTGATCAGTTTAGATTATTCTACTGCGAACTGTTCGAACGAAAATTTTGTTGGCCAATATAACATGATCCAAGGATAGCTTTAAGATGAGTGTACCAATTTTTTTGTCAACCCCTTTTCCTAGTTGTCAAGGTCACCTTTAATTTTTTATAGATGAACCTATAATTTTTTTACGCACATGTTTTAGTGGACAGCTACCGAGACGAATTCAGCAAGCATCATGACAAAGAAGTATTTCTTCTAAACCAAAGAAACAGTAAGATAATATCATATACCTTAATTAAAACAATGTTCAAAATGGTGTCCATCAGCTGCAGTACACTCGCCTGAACAGTTAAGATACGACTGCCTAGTTCTATTTATGACGTCTGCACAAACAAAGTTTTCGATTCAACAGCCTAGTAGTAGAATAATCTCATTGTAAGTTGATCACGTTTTGTGATCCACCCTGTATACAGAGAGTGATTCATCTAATACTGCCATCTAAATTGCTTGCAACCTGTTCATAATATGAAAAAACATTTTAAATATAAGTTATATGGTATTAAGAGAGACACACAACGTAACAATTAGTTTTTTATCGTTTTGCTTTTTTATTGACAAACGTAGGTCAACTAGAATATTTTAATTGTGATGCGGAAAATTTGATCCAATATTCTTTAAATGATTTTTAATGTAAATACGGCTCAAAATGTTACCCATTGCAATCAATACAAGTGCGCTCCGTTCAACAAGTGCGCAAAACCCATGCTCAAGTGTTTTTTTGAGTTATTCTTCATCAGAAACATACGAATTATGAAACTTTGGAACCACATTTTCAAGATACCCTTAAATATACCAACGAGATCCACTATCTGTTACCAATTCCACATGTCTTTGATACATTATCTCTTAATACTATTCATCACTGTTCTCTAATATTCTGGACTATTTTCTTTTATCCTAACCATACAAAACTTACAGAAAATTTTAAAGTGCGAAATTTGCTAGAGAAATTTAAAAAGCAACCGAATGCTGTCTACAATCCTCTAAAAGTTCCCATAAAACTCAAATAAACTTTCCCCCAGACGATCTCCAGCACTTTTTTCGAAATTTTCCGTTCCGATCCCGGACTTCGGAACACTTACAAAACTCACGACGAACGAAAAATCTCGTAATTCCGTTCCCCCGTTTTTGTCCGTAATTTCTTCCAGTGAAACAGCGGAAAACCCTTAAGGCCCATTTATACACATCCGGGCCGTGTCCGTTCCGTGCCCGATTCGGGCGATCAAGCTTTCTCGGTGCCACGAATGGTGATGCAGACAATTCGAATGAGTATAAACTGCTAGATATAAAAATATGGTAACCAATTTAGGTCCGGGGCACGGATGGGACACGGAACGGACACGGCCCGGATGTGTATAAATGGGCCTTTATTCTCCTGCAGACGCGTCATATCGGCGCGAAGAAGCAGGACGCGCCTGCCTAATATTGATGTTTAAAACGAGTTTACCGTGGTACAAGCGGAGTTTCGAAAGTTCCGAAGCATCCAGTGTGCTCTTCGTTTCACATCCACCCGGTAATTCTCTTGAGCTATGCACGTGTCTCAGATTAAACGTGCACATATTCACGGCCTGTAATTGGCGGTACACGAGGCTTACAATGGATTTACATCCGTTTCTAACGACTGTTTCAAGCTATCCTAATATTTCCTTTAAACACATTGGCAACACATAAAGTTTCGTGAAAATTTGTTCCATTTACAGTGGCTGCTAAAAGTTTCCGACCAAACAGTAATTTCAACATATGTTTTTTAAATATAAGGGTAAGGCGTCTGACTTTCGTACCCGTGTCTAATTCCTTCCCTCCCTCACTCTATCTACAGTCTTAAATGCAATAGCTTGGTGGCAATTGTGTAAACTTATGTGAAATATGATTCTAATAAGCTGGTAGAATAAACAAAAGCTTTTTGAAACAAAAACAGTTTGTTGTTTTACATGCAGTGCACGGTAGTGATTACTTATACAGGGTGTAACCAAAATGTTGCAAGTCCTTGAAAGAGGTGATTCCTGGGGTGACCTGAAACAACGTTTTCCTTAGCGAAAATGTTCTCCGAAGCTTTGTTAACGAGATATTAACATAAAATCCCGACCAATCAGAGCATGAGTCTATTAGCCGAGCTGCCACAGTAGGATTGGTTACGCGCTGCATCATAGCCGACTATAGTACTAGTCATGCTGAAGGTAAAAATGGCAACAGTCCGTGAGTCCGGCTTCGATATAGATATCTAACCACACCTTTTTTTTGTAACGGGGGAAAATCTTCAAAAGGTCTCCGCTCGAGGCGGAATGCCTATGTGGGACTTTTACCTATTGAAAACTCCCCGGTGATCCTCTCGGGCATGAAGGCTGGTCGCGCGAACGCCGAACTCCTAAGCATACTACCGTGACCAGCTCCGCCCTTGCCCCCGGGGCCAGTGATGCCAGAATCGTGGGATTTTCGCGCGAGCGCTTACCCTCTCCATGCCTCCCGTGGGTATTTTACACAAGCATATGTAGCCTGTCCGTGTGAGTTCTGCCCCCACTACGTCCTACTCGGCGACTCACCAACACAAGCGTTTTCTACCTCTGTCCGTGTGCGCTCTGCTTCGGGTGTTCTCGGCAAAAGCCTACGTCACGCGTTTACGACGCGACGGCCGAGTGGCCCAAGCCAGGTCAAAAATCCCAAATCCCAAGCAACCTAAAATTTACGTCCTAAACGCGGAGAGCTGCATGATTTCTCTCACGCGTTCATGATGAAGACCCCGTCCGAAACCCCGTCCGAAACCCCGTTCGAATCCCGATGCGACGGTTTTACTTTTTATTTTTAATTATTGCATAATTTCATTTTGTAATATGTCAGTAAAATAAAAACTTCGAAGATATTGATTCAAGAAGCATTTTAAAAAAATGGGAGATGTATTTATTCCTCTTCAATATTTAAATTTTATATTACACAAATACATATTCTCTTATGTATACACAAATTATTCGTACAATTAGATGTTACCTTCATTCTAAGTATTACAGTACATACATATGAAAACATTGGAAGAAAAATCCATCACATTAATATGTTACGTACAGTAAAATGAAAGCTTGGAAGATATTAATTTGAGAAGCATTTTCAAAATCAGATTTTTTTGTTAAGCTGGTCCACGCATATGCATTTTGTTGATTTGATGTCGGTGAGCATGGATAATATGCATGTACATACAACACATCGTCTTTTCTTTTTGTCCTGTAAATAATGTCACAAGTGTTCCGTCCTCAATATGGACTTTCTTTACTCACGGTATATTAATTTCTTTGGGCGGCTAAAATGCTTCTTTCAAAATCTGGGAAATTCCTTACAACC